GACATGTTAAACATGATCTGGATTTCAGGAATCCATGTTGGTTCGGACTTATAATATTGCAGCTAAGCATATGTTTGATTAAGTTATCTTTGACTAGTCTCTCCATAATTCTAGATGCTATAGGTGTGATATTGATCGGCCGGTAGTTACTGACTTCAGTTTTCGAGCCAGATTTGTGTTTAGGCATAATGAATGTTGTCTTCCATATGTCAGGGTAAGTTTGGGTTTCTAGGGACATTGTGAATATTTTAAGCAGTAGTAGAGGAATGTCAGGGCCACCATATTTATAGAAGTAAGATGATATACCGTCGGTACCGAAACCTTTTGAACTTTTGAGGGTTCTTATAGTTTGGTTAATATTAGTGTAATTGAATTCAACAGTGCTAATTTGGTTTGGTGTGAGTGGAGATGGAGTTTGTGCCATATTAGTAATAGGGTGTATATCGAGTAGCTGGACTGAGGGCTTAAGGTAGTTACCTGCAAACGTTTTGTTGAATAGTTCACATATGTCTGCAGAGTTAGTGCATAGCCTACCTTTGTCCATGAGGAGGGAAATGCTGTGATTTTTGCGATTCATCCGCTTCCTTAAGATTTCTTTGAGTGCATACACTCTAGCAGGGCTGGCTACCGCGATGCGTTCTTCCTTTCTCGTATGGAAATCTCGAGCTTGTGAGATGGAGCTTAGGGTGTTAAGTATTAGACCTAGAATGCCAAAGTCGTGGTATTTGAAGTAACTTGTTGAGAGTTTCTTCAGTTTCTTACGATCCTTTGCTTCTATGAATGGCTTAGGGAGGGCCTGTAACATACGTGTGAAGCCAGACAAGCCGTGGAAGGGAAGACAAATGGCGAGGGAGTCGCCAGAGCTTACTCCTTCTGCCTCCATGGCTGTTCATGGCATTCCTGAACTGGTAACTGGGAACGCCTGCGAAAAGCATTGTCATGATGTACAGCAATGGAGATGGTTGGCATCTCAGATGGCCCTGGGGAGTTCAAAGGCTGTCTCTATTTACAGACTGCCTCGACCCACCCACCTTATGTCAATTAACACGCCACGTCTGTTAGCTGTCAAGTTCAGCTCCCAAGACCACTTGACTACCGCTCTCCACAGATTGTACGAGACCAAGGACAAGGTCAGCAAACACATTCGCTGCTGCGAGAGCCGGCCTCGCACCCAAAGGAGAGAACAGAGCGTTGTCAAAAAAATCCTCAACCCCTAGTCACACTACAGCGGTGCAGCACGGACGATGATAGCCAGTGTCATCCGAGTGCTTCGACTGAACTAGAAGAAAAAACGCCAACAGGCCGGTTCCTGGGGAATCGGCCAACTAGTTTGTAGGATAACTCCTCAACCGATAGCCAATATCAAGTCAACTACCCCCCAATACGGGGAAGTGGTGAGACTGACTACCAGTTGCCTGTATAGTAATGTGAGAGGGCTAAGAGGCAAAATAGCTGAACTTAGACACCTACAATCACAACTAAACTCCAAAATCATAATACTGACGGAAACCTGGCTAACCCCTACGGTGGCAGACAGCGAAGTCAGTATAAATGATATGGTCCTAGTCAGGCGAGATAGGGACCTGAAAGAAGGAGGTGGAGTCGCCATATACGTCGACAAACAGCTCAGATGTGTTCACGCGATGGACCCTCCCCTCACAGAGCTCCCTGACTCCATATGGTGCCACTTCACCGTTGGGTACTGCAAATATCTAGTGGGCAGCATTTATCGATCACCTTCATGTGGAGCAGACCACAACCAGGTACTGCTAAATACAATCTCAGCAACTCAAGACATGGGTTATGATCAAATTGTCATAGCTGGTGACTTCAATGCCCCATCTCTTAACTTGGTGTCGGGAAAAGCCCATGATAGATTTGATCGAAATCTGCTGCATACCATCAGGAAGGCTGGATTCACTGAAAATGTCAAGATGGATACTAGATGGGGCCCTGATGGGAAGTCTTCTAGACTGGATTACGTGCTCACTAGTGACCAGCTACTAGTGGAAAACGTTCAGATCACGACTCCCATAGGTAGTAGTGACCACGCGGTCATAGTATTCGACATAGTCCTCCGCGAGCGCTTACAGTGGGACAATACACAGCCCTATCTGTGTTATAACAAAGCCAATTACACCAAAATGCGAAGACTTCTGTCTGAAGCAAATTGGCCTAAAAAATGGACAGAGCTAACAGTAGAACACTGGAGAGTGGTAAAGGAGATCATTCACCAGGCGGTCTCAGACACTGTTCCTTTAGTCACACCAAAAGCTAAGAAGCAACGTTCATGGCTAAAAAGGGGGACACACGCCTTCTGCAGGGAAGCGAAAAGCCTGGTTTGCGTGGCGACGATCGAAGAGTCAACCCGAACATGAAGTGTACCTTGAACTCAGGAATCGATGTAACATACGAGTCCGGAGCGATAGAAGGACATTTCAGGGGAACCTCGCCAATAAGCTTCTCGTGAACCCCAAAAGCCTATACAGGTTTATGTCCGAAAGAAAACCGACCAACCAGGGAGCATGCAATCTAGTGGGTTCTGATGGGAAATCTCTTACTAGTCTTGAAATGGCAGAGACATTCAGCCTAGCCTTTCACAGGCAACTAAACAGTAACGAGGATATTACCCTCACAGAACATCAAGATTACATCGCAAAACCAACGCGCGAAAACCTGCTGGGTACATTTCAAATTACCCCGGCTATGGTACTTGCAAAATTGGGAAAGTTGGCTTCGGGAAAGTCTTCAGGTTGTGATGATATCAGACCATCCGTCCTGAAGCAGTGTTCAGAAAGTCTCTGCCAACCCCTAAGTGATCTGTTCCAACACTCCCTTGATGTAGGGAAACTTCCATGTGAATGGAAACGAGCAATCCTATCCCCTATCTTCAAGGGTGGTGACCGGCAGAATGCGACCAGTTACAGACCAGTTGCTCTACTTCCAGTGATATCGAAAATATTGGAAAGTCCCATTGACGACCACATGAGAAAATACTTCGATGGGACTAACCTTCTTCACGAAGCACAGCACGGTTTCAGGAGGGGAAGATCCTGCGTGACGAATCTTCTACTAGCTTGGAACGATTGGACACTATCCTTGGACGAAAAGGTACCAGCCCACGTGATCTTTCTCGACTTTGCGAAAGCATTCGACACAGTTCACCATGGTCTGCTCCTTCACAAAATAAGCAAGGCGGGTGTTTCTGGAGCACTTCTCGCATGGCTGAAAGATTACTTAGGCGAGAGAGAATTCTGCACCAAAGTCAACCGCATCCGATCATCCTGGCACACCTCGGCATCAGGGGTTCCTCAGGGTTCTATCCTAGGGCCGTTGATGTTTTTGATTTTTATCAACGACCTGCCCTCCCAACTAAACTGCTCTGCGCTTCTTTACGCTGACGACGTAAAGATTTGGAGAGCAATAAACTCATCATTTGCAGGCTGACCTGCAAACTCTGGAAACTGGGCTCTGGCTAACGGAATGCCTTTCAACCTAAAGAAGTGCAAAGTAGTGCAACTTCATTCCGGCAGGTCACAGAGTGTAAATTACACCCTTGGTGGCCAGAACTTGAGTTGTGTTCCATCAGAGCGCGATCTAGGTCTTATTCTAACAGAAAAGCTAGACACCAGTGAAAATTACTCGAGGGACGTCGCCAAAGCCTACGCAACTTTACACTTTATGCATAGGCAGCTGGGAGCTCTCACTCCCGAACTGTTCTTAAGGTTATATAAGACATATGTGAGGCCACACCTTGAGGTGCATAATATCATTGCACCTCCGCTACTCAAAAGGGATGCTAACATTCTAGAAAGTGTCCAGAGACGAGCGACAAAATGGGTGATCGGCCTCCGCAACAAATCATATGAGGAATGACTAAAGAAATTAGGTCTTTTCACACTTAGTTACCGTAGGCACAGGGGAGACCTCATCACCGTCTACCAGATCCTAAATGACCAGGCCCACCCAAATAAAAGCATCCTGCCATTAAGTGATTATAGGCTTCCACGAGGTAACCCGCTAAGGATAGCACACCAGAGACCAAAGACTCGAGTGCGATCACATTTCTTTTCGCTTCGAGTTTGCCGTCTCTGGAACGCTTTACCGGCGGCCGTGACTACAGCGCCATCTGTGGAGATTTTTAAGCGGAAGCTAGACAATCATGCAGAAATGCAAGGTTTGTGTCTCAATGGCTTATCTTCATAAAACTTAAAACCACACTGTCAATGGATGAGCGTACAAACTAAATCCCACGACCTGTTCTGCCTTCTCTCACTGTATCGACTACTCTATCTTTTGATTTTTTTTTGATTTTTTGATTCGCAGCTTGATTCCACACTGTATTTTCGGTACAAGTATGGAGTTTTCAGCATGGATATCGGTAGCCCAAATTTTGCAGGCCGACCATAGATATCAGGTGTGCGTCGGTGCGGGCTCGAACCCCGGACCATGTGCATGGTCGGCGAGAGTCCTAACCACTGTGCCACCAACGCACTGCATTTGACAACAGCTTTCAGTGCACTGCAGACATTTTTGACAGCCTTGTGCACACTGAAGATGATTCATTCAGCAGCCAAATTTATACCAAGTTTCCTTAGGTCACCTTTATTATTTCACTTGTCTCAACCCATATAATCTACACTACAACCAATTATTATTACTATTCTGCTTTTATGACTACACCGAATGACCAACGGGAGTTAGGTCAAACTCCATTCACGGCAGCAACACAGTCCGAACATACTGCATACTACAAACCACATCTTGACCAATCTCCGCACCACTCCTCTTGGAGTCTACAGAGCTAAGGCAGTCGAGTGGCGGGACTTACTACGCAGAAGCTCACCAAAGATCTGGAACCTCTACCTCACAATCAAGAAGGGAGCTAAAAGAAATCACTGGTTTATACTAGCTCGTAATCAGGATATTGGATATTGGATACGACATTGAGTATTGGATGCCAACACCCTTTTTGGTATCAAGGTCGTTGCGCGTAAGTGACTTGGAGAAATACGCTGCGTCAAGTATGTACAATCTGTTGATACATGTTTCTAAACTATTAAAGCACATAAAATTACATACAAATTGGGGCAACAGTAAAGAATAAACATCAAGGCAAAATGGCCTCGAATCAAACAATAATATGCCATGGCTCAGCATTAAACATGAATGCATTCATATGGACAACATGTTGTCCATAATCTTCGTCGCAAGTTTCACCCAAATGTTTTTATACCAATAATACAACGACTAATCCTCCTAGATACTACCATTCATACACTCGAGTGGAAAGCTTATTCGCAACTATCATCATTCGACTATATTCATCATTAAGTCATTCATACATCTCAATTAGTAGGTCCAGTAATTGGAATTCATACAAATTCTATTAAAGGATTCTGAGTCCATCTAAAGAACAGTATTATAATAATAAATGGTTCCCGACATGATATACACTCAATTGGATTTTTTATATTGAAACTGCAGTGTCAAACCATGATTTGATGAGAAACTGGAACGTGTTTTTACAGCATCTTAGAGATAAATAATCTGTATAACTCAGTTTTAGCACATACATGTCTTATAAGTACACTTTTTTTTGTAAAATAAATACCACTTTCCACTTAGAATATAGTTGGTATATTTAAGGTCATTTGACTTTGGTGTCTATTCTTTACTGTTGCCCAAATTGAGATCCCAAAACAATTATTATGATGCATTGAAGTAGCCTATGAGCAGTAATGTTCCTGTTAATAGCTATCGACGAATGTCAACTGCATTTGACAATAGCTTTCAGTGCACTGCAGACATTTTTGACAGCCTTGTGCACACTGCAGATGATTCATTCAGCAGCCAAATTTATAAGTTAGTTCTGATGACCTAAGGTTACTATAATGCTGAATTAAATCTCACTAATTTTGAAATAATTCTAACATTCTGTAGTGAGTAAATTCTGAATATGTTCTGAAATGGATTCTTTAATGGCACAGACTAGAACTCAGTGCAGGTTTTCAGCATGACAGGGACTAATCCAGCACCCTGTTCTTTGTTCTAGGCACTTTTAGGAGTAGATTAGAACCTGCTGGGTTTGCTTATCAGTGTTATTCCAGTCCTCACAGGACTAATTACAGACCACCGTTACTTCAGAACGAAACGACTTAATTCAGCACTCAGCGTTATTTCAGAACATACTGGGTAGATAAAAACTTCATTTACCATAAAAAGGCATTACCGAAGAATAGGTTAGAATAAGTTTAGCATTGTTGTAAGCTTGGGGATTCTAAAGGTCTTAGGGTTGTTTTCCGTTCAATAATTAGGTTAGTAAATCTATATGCAGTGTCTCCACACACCCAAAATAAAACATTTCGGAGTTCTGGTGAAAAGCGGCACTTAAATTAGGACATGGATTATGGAGAATGGAAATCTCTTGTATTTCCGGAGAATTGAGGCTCATTTCAGACTGGCGACTTCGAGCAAACATGTTGCATATCTCGTAGTGTGTCGTAAAATTCTGGGGCTGTGCTGAGTACCCAAGGAGTTTACTGCCTCGGTGGACATACTGATTTTACTAGACGGTAGGGATTATGCATACTTCTCACTGAAGGGAAATGAGATTTAAAATATCTTTTCAGCACTTTTCCAACTTTGTTTCCTTGTGAAGGTAAAGTGGTAGGCATTGAAAGCACCAGGCTTTTGGATAAAGTAGGAGATATATGTCATTTGTTTGTAACGTAACACTTAGTTGTCATCCGATTTCGTTTTAATTTACTCGCTCCACACTTCTTCAGTTTCAGTATTTACCAAAGTATCAAACAATATGGATTCACTTTTCGCGAATCAGGAGTCTGCGAATCCAATCGAGAAAGATTTTGCTTATAACAACAATGTCGCTAATGCACATGTAACTATTCGTCTGAGTAAGTTTCATACGTTTATGTTGATTTCAGCCGTGGTTTAGGATTTTTCGACAAAATTCACTGTCAGATATTACTTTCCGTGCATCTGAGCTCACTCCCCATTTGGCATTTGCCATCACTCAATGTAGTTTTTTGGTGTTTATTCCATTCCAAAGAGGTTGCTTTTATAACTCATTGTCACCCTAGTAGTTGTCGTAGCCGAAAAAGAGTTTGCTTCATTATCATGTTTTCACTGGCGAATCGTTTAAAGACATATGTATGGGATGCCAATGGAAGTAATTGAACTCATTCCTATTAGGCAGTTTATTTTGGCGATAAATAATTAAAAGGAACTTCACCAACGACCACTTTTTGTTCAGTGATGACAGGTTGGTTTAGACGCTCGACAACCAACGTGACTGATTGAATTATCAGCCAGTCGGAGAAAAAAGGGCGAAACAATGCGCCTAGTAGTGCAGTAAAAAAGGAAACTGATTAGACGAAAACGGGAAAATAAGGGATGCTTTGTCAATGATTTCTCTCTTTTTCCAAACGATGCATTGTCCCCTTTTTCCCTTTATTTTCATTTTTGCACTTAATTTCCCCCTTATGTCTCCTTATCTTCGCCTATATATGTGTGATATGTTACCGAAAACAATCATAGTAGGACAGCCATGAAAATACTTATTCATTATAGACATTATATATTAAAGTTGTACGATTTCAATTGATAATAAAAAAGATACAATTCTTTAGATGAGTATTTAATAAATAAAATTTACAGATTATATACACAAGTGGATTGATAGTTTTTTTTTAAATTTTGGGTGCTTTACTGATTATACCACTTAGCCGTCATCCAGTAGGCCCATGGAAGTATCCTGAAATAAGAAAGATTTAATAATAAGTAAAGCATGTAATGCAGTAATGAATGTTTACACTTAGAATAACGGCTTTATGGAATTACTCTTCCTGTCAACAGTCTTGCTGTTTCCACCGACCTGTTAAAATGAAATTAGTGTGTGGTTGAACGGTATACATTGAAACACCCAGTATGTTCACTGAAATGAACCATCGAAATCTATGCTTACTTTTTTCTGGCTTTCCCTTTTAGCCATGCATTGATAGACGTCGTGGAAGTATGCCGTGATAACCGCTTTCATCTTATTTCACACTTCGTTTTCTCGCATTGTAGCACACATGAACTTGCTAAGAATGATGGCTGAAATCAGTATTAAAATGAGGCAACCCTACATGTAACTTCTTGATAGCAACTGTATTTTATCGGGGCTAAATGTCGGGTTTCCGTATGCGATAAAGTGGCTCGAAAGCTTAGGCTTCCAAATGTACTTCAGCATTTCTTTTAAAGAATGGACAACATATGAGTCAGTCCTTTTTGTCATCTAAACATCATCAGTGGTGAAATGAAAACTTACTATTCAAACTTTGAATACGCCACGCGGCAACTAGCATTTGTAATGTGTAAGATGACGTTTTAGAACTGACCTATCTGTATCGACTCCTAGTCTAAATATAGAGTGAAGTGATTGGGTGTGTTGGCCACCTCACTTATTTGAGAAGTTGCATCAACCCCATTGGGTTGATTGCAGACGAAGTTTCTGCACAAATAAAGAAGGCTGGTGTGGCATTTTCCTACTTAAGTCATCTTTAGCGTAAACATATCCGACTACCAAGTTTTGTACTGCTCAGCAGCTCGTTCCTTCCTTCTTTACGACCGTAAAATATGGTCGTTGGAAGTGGAAGACTTGAAGAAACCAGCTGCCTTTAACAACAACAGGTGTGTGTGTTCTACTTCTTCTCTTAAGTCGTATAATATGCTCAGTAGTATCGAGTTAAGATGTAAAAGGTTAGGTAAGGAGACCAAGTCAATCGGTGAGGTTGTGAAACTGCATCTATTCAGATTCCTAGGACACATATTATACACGTCAATCCATCGCCTTTCTTCTCAAGTGATATTAGTTAGCTATGATAAGATGATTAGGTTGGAAATGAGTTAGAGGTGATCGAATTAAAACTTGTCACCACGAATCCACCAAGTCTGACCGTTGTTTAGAGCCGTTCGGTCAGGTTTAGACTGTCTGACTGGAGTCCTCGAGATATTAAGAACCGATGATTGGAGAATGCTTTTGACATGGTACAAATTCGTCTTCAGTGGTGCAGATGTGTTCACTCTTTGTAGTCTCCCAGATCGGTCAAATCCTTAATATTTTGCATGTGATAATTATTTCTTTCTCGCATTCCCATTCGTTGTAGTTCGTTAGATTTATTTTCTCTGCCTTTGTGTGATATGTGGTGTGGCAAATCGAACAGCTGTTGAAAACTCAGTAGGTGTTTCGGTAGCCATTCAACATTGTCCTCGATCCTCCATGCCAATTAAGAGTGACTAACTATGGTAGTAACTGCTTGCTCGTTTTGAATTGGCAGCAGATGCAGAACTATTCACTCAAGTTAGTGTGGCTCGCTGGGTCACCGGAATATGCTAGTCAGGTCATCACGTCAAGGTAGCAATTGTTAGTTGTGCGACTTATAGCCACTGTGTTAGGTTGCCTAACCTCATTTCACATATTGCAGTTTGGTCACTCAGATAGTGTCTCCATCTCTTATACTGTTGGTATATTTCTTTGCTTGTGCATACAAATGGACATGGTGGCTGTATAATAGTTAGATGTTCGATAGTTCAGTAGTAGACACTGTCGTTGCGTATTCACGATGTGCCTAAATATAATAAAGGGAAATTTTTGAATGCGCATTGATCCGGAATTGTGCGTCGGTAGCACTGCGGTAGAATGCTCGCCAACCACGTGGGTGGTTCGGGGTTTGATCCCTGGTCGACGTACTCCTTTACCTCGCTTAGCCAGTGATAAGACTGGTAAAGGGGGAAGTTGGGTATGAGGGTAGAAGCTCCATCTCGTAAAAATAAACACCACTGCTACCGAAACTTCAAGCCTCCAGCTTAAAGCCCTATGTTCCACCGGGAACGTAAAAGAATAAAATATTTAAAAAAATTGTTGCTGAATTAAAGGAAATGCGTCAAAGGGAGTTTCGAAAAGGTACTTCATACTAATCAAGACTGGTATAACTTATGCAGCCGTATGAGAGCTTGTAGAAAGTTATCATTTGGTATGATGATAACCAGTGTTCGTCGGTGATGTTTACCGTCACCATTTTTATTTGATTTCCGTATAACTTTAATAATGGATGTTCAATGATTCGACAACTAAACTCTTCATGAGGAAATGGTCCTCCTGATATGTAGCATGCAAATAATGGTATCCTTTTAGGTGAAGACACTGAAGAAATGAAAAGTCTTGTGAACACCTTGTATATTTGACATACTATTCGCCCTTGTTAAACATAATGTAATGTAGCAGGACTGGTCTGCACTGAGATAGGTTGCATGGTAGTTAAATGTGTTAACTAATTAACTTGTTGTACCATTACCAGTGGACTAATTGTTGATGAAATCTCAGTACAAAGATACGGAAAACTTGTTTGTATTTATTCACTTGACTCATCTTTAGCGCACAGACATGGTTTCCAGCTATTTATCGCATGAAGCACATCACACTTTACGGTGGAAAAATGGCAGTCGAGTAGCTGTTTTTGGTCATAGGTACCTCCATTCAGTTTCATTTTGGGTGGAGTGATCCGATCAGTAATAATGATGTTAGGGGTAGTGTGTTGAGGCAATTAAGGCATGCGTTACATGTGTTTAGCCACTGCGTTCCTCGGCGAGGTGAAGTAGGGATAGCCTCAAGGGAGGTGCAGGTAGTCAGACTAAAACGTTACAGCAATCTATGCGGTCTTTGGCTGTTACTTTGAACCACTTAGAGAGGTGTAGACTGCATGCCTGTAGTTCTCGGCGTACTAATAATCGATGGTTGGTGACATATCGCAAAGTGGCTTACAGTATCTCGAATATATTCCCTTCATGTCATCTTACAGATTCGAAAAATCCTCACTATTCTTCATGCAATTGTTTTCTGTTGTATATCTTCGTCCATTGGTTTTTTCACTACTTTTGTTTTTCTACTTTGTGTTTTTCCAAAGTGTGACAGCTTGAACTGCTGCACTTTATATGCAGAGTTCTTCATTGATAAATCAGCTACTTCGATAAACGATAACCTGTTGGAATCCGTTTTAAATGAATATTAATTTCTCGAATATTTAGTCTAAAATGGTTTTATTTTTTGTTTCACGTAATCAAGGATTTTTACGCAAAGTCTACGGGATCCTTTTCACACAGCTCTTGATAACTTCAGTATGCGCTGGAGTAATGATGGCGTTAAAGCCAGTTCTGTTGGACAGCCTTCGACAGCAGTAAGTTGTTTTTAGTACAAAAGTTTTTATTAAAATTTTATTTTAGTGCCTGGGTACCGTTTTTACTGTTCATAAGCACATTTGCAATATTAATCTCGTTGATGTGGAAAAGGCAAGAAACACCAACCAATTTCGTGTTGTTATTCTTATTTGTAAGTTCAATATATTTCACATGCTTTTATATCTAATTACTTCTATAGACTTTGTGCGAATCTATACTTGTCGGATATGTGGGTATGTAATGCATTCCTGGTTCCCTTTTCATTATGATATGTAAATGTGTATCTTTTATTTATATTCACAGTTCAACTAATTATCAGTCATTCAGTTAAAAATTGTGTACTCAGAATGTTATAGTCTTAATTCAAGTAGTACTTTTCGAAAGTATTCAGGGAACAGAGAAAGGTTTGGTGATACTTTTAAACCAATTTTCTCCAAGTAAAGAATGGAATTCGTAAATTTAGCTGGGAAAACGTTGCTGATTATTGGAAAGAAAACGCTATAATCTCTCGGAGCAACATAGTGTCGATTATTCAATGACAATTTAGCGGTTTCCAGCAAAAACAGAAGTATATACTGTGGATGACCCTGGGAAAGGACCCAGTTCTGACTGAGTCGCCTTGACCTTACCCTTGCAGCACTTTTAATGTTTCTAAATTTGTGAAATACCTGAATCTTATCATTTTATTATTATTCGTTCCGTGTGTTATGAGGGGAGTTTAGAGCTTTAACGGCACATCTCAGTTACATTCTGTTCTCTGCCATCACCTTGAACTGGCTTCATGGTCGCCAACAAGTTGACATTCCTTCGCTTTATCTTCTCTATGGCACTGTCGAACACCCAACCTGTCACTTCTCTTTCAAGTTCCTCTCAAGGACTTGATATGTACTGTCATTCAACTGCCTCGTCCGATCCCGCTTTATTTCCTTCCGCATGTTTGTTGGGTAATAAATTCTTGGATGATTTGCTGCACTCCCAGAGTTCTTTGTCGTTTATCCTTACCGACTAACCAAGTGATCTTCAGCATTGAGTGAAGGTATGTGTTGTTGGAACTCTGCAGCCGGTTGTTAGAAATGCTTTCAGTGGTGGAATCACCAAGTAGCTGAACAACATTAAAGTGCTAACTTGACAAATGTGTTGAAAATTTTCATCTTGTTTTGTGTACTAAGTCCTATAATGTGGATCTCTACATCGATTCAAGAGTAATGGACATCTGTGTCGCTTCTCTGATCGTGGCATCCTCACCCGTGCCTCTTGTACTTAAAAAGACGTCGAGGTAAGTGAAGGAGGTGACTTCATTTAGATTTCTCCAGTAGATGGAGACTTATACTTGTTGTCGTTGGTTAGGCATCTTCATCGTCTTTATTTTGTCTGTGTTCACTTGAATTGCTGTCTTTGCTTCATCTTCTGCCAGCTTGTAGGTTTTCGTCTTTATATATATTCGAGTTTGTAGAACATGAAACTGAAAGCGTTCACGAAATCTAGATCTGCCAGGGTCTTTTTATCAGCCCATTATATCCCTTTCTTTTCACTCCCTACTGTCTGTCGTATGATCCAGTCCACAGCAAGGCGGAACATCATCAGTGATAACAGGCATCATTGTATTACTGATGTCTTCAATTTAGAGATTTCACTGAGATTGCCGTTGTGAATTATTTGGCATGTGACATTATCATCTAGCTGTTGAACGTGAAAACTAGTAAGGAATGAATAGAGTGTGATGGTAATCTAGAAATCTTTTTGTATCTTGAGAGAAAATGCAGTGTGTCTCGATATCCTTTTTTTAATGGCACTTGACAACATTATCTACAGTGTGGAGGAAAAGTGTTCCAGAAAACTACGTTGACCGAAAACGTTAATTTAATAATTATCTGACCCTTATGCTGATTGAATTCAAGAAAATCCTGGTGATTTCAAATTTCTTTGTCAGTTAGTCGATGAGGTTTTCAGTATTTCAACTTTTATACAGTAGTAATATTACTTTAATCCAAAAAATGTCATTTAACCTTATTGATTTAGAAGTCTTTTCGCAGAGTGTCTCATCGATCAGGTCAATGAAAATCACTTACTCAAACACTTGTTTTTTTTTAAAAATTGCTATAGACGTTTCTTTCTAAAATGTCTACTTCAAGTAGTATGTACTAAAGGTGTTCACTATTTCTTTTCTAACCTTAATTTTTTGTGAACGTATTTGTGATGGTTGTATTTTCTGCTTCTGGTTATAAAAGCGTAACCCTTTATCTCTTATTGTAAAATATTTTCTAAGTAAAATTACAGACAGAAAGAAGTGTTAATATATGTGTAAAACTTGGGCACTGTGGTAGTAAGTAATTTCATATTAGTTTGTTTACTAGATGTATCACACAGTGAAACAGTATTATTTACTGGAGGCAATTCAATTCACTTATGAATTGGAAAGTCAGGAAGGGGAACTTCCAATGTTAGATTGCAACGTAAAAAGGAAAGAATATGGGAAGTTAAACACTAGTGTTTACAGGAAACCCACACATTCAAACAGATATTTGGACTTCGGATCACCCCATCCTATGTCAGTAAAAATAGGAATGGTGAAATGTTTAGGTGACAGAGCACAAAAACTAAGTAGTACCAAGAAAAACCTAAGACAGGAAGTGATACACATAAAAGAAGCCTTGAAACTTTATAATTACCCGGATAAATTAGTCAGGAAATATGTAAGGAAATGTAAAAATAAAGTAAATAATGATAGTATCGATAGTGATAATAATAATAATAATAATGATAACAATAATAATGATAATAATAGTGATGATAATAATAATAATATTAATGACGACACCAACAATAAGAGATCTAAATCATCAGTAGTAATTCCACACAAGGAAGGAACCTCGGAAGCCTTACGCAGAAGTCTAAACAAGGCAGGAATAAAAGTAGCATTCAAACCCACAAACTCAATTAGAAACAAGCTTTGTCGGTTAAAGGAGCAACCCTATGGAGCCTTTAAAACAAAACAATTTAGTTTATCTAATACCCTGTAATGATTGTCAGGTCAAATACATAGGTCAAGCTAGTAGAACAGGAGCAGTCAGACTAGCCGAACATAAAAACCTAGCAAAGTCGAGATTAGTTGACTCAAATAAGATAAGAGATCTAGAGAATAGTTCAGCTATATCACTCAACACATGCAATTACAAACAACCATACAATAGGATGACAATTTTAAAATCGAATGTCACAGCTGGGTGGAGGGAGAGATTGATAACCGAAGCTTTGTTTGTCGAATCAACTGCAAACATGCGTGATAGGAATGATTCATCACCTGTCCTAGATATCTGGAAAATTCTACTACTCCTACGACAAATAGGAGAAGACAGAGAACACTATAATACTCAAGTTTCAAAGTCGTGTGATTACAATTGATATGATTATGAACCACAATAAATTTTGTTCGAAACATCATCCGGTAAATAATACTGTTTCACTGTGTGATATATCTAATAAACAAACTAATATAGAAAGAAGTGTTATAAACAATGATTGTTAACTTGAAGGATGTTTTGGATAGGTTTCTCATCCACCATCAAATACTGATTTTCCTCCTAGAATTGGGTTGATATTCGTATCCTATTTCACAAAGAAAGTCTCATCGAAATGACTGAGTGCATTTACTACTTTTTACTTACCGATGAAGTCATATCAGCCTTTAATGAATAGTAGTGGATGGTCAATTGATTCATGGTCCCTGAGATGTTATATTTCACTTTCAGTAATAATTGGACAGTTTAAAGTATTATTTCAGAAGCATTATTAATCTTAAAGTTACGATTATCTGAAGAGGTTGAATTCATTATAGTATTGTCGGCTAATATTAGACTAATCGTCTGGAATTTTTGTTAATTACACAAATCTCAAGTATGAATGTATTAAACAAAAAAAAAATTCCCGTCACGCAATTTATGGCTTTATACTGTAGTCAACAGGATGTGTCACAGAAACACACTTTTCTTTCATTCACAAAAGTAATTTTCATCATTAAGGGATGTTGGTCGGATATTTAGTTGATAGCCGTAAAATACTCTTTCCTTGTTTCAGACTGTTTATTAGTTTACATCCTCCTATTATATCCTAAAATCAATAGAGTAATTAATTGGTAAGACTGAAGTGTCCGTGGTTCAATCGTAGAATGCTGTCTAGTCACGCGTGGTGTTCAAGTCCCATTTCTCACAGACGCACTCCTAATCCTTACTCAGTCTACTAGTCAATAGTAAAGCCGGAAAAAGATGGAAGGTCGAGTGTAAAGCTATCGACCACACCCCTCAAATACAACACTACAATTACTGAAGCTTTAGAAATGTTTGTAGCCCTATGTTCCACTCGGTATGCCAAGGGTGATTGGCTGGCTGGCTACAACGTATAACTTTTCACAGATGTTCAGCCATTCGAGTTGTCACACTCCACGTACCACACATGCAAGAGAAGAGAGTAAAGAGAGATTCAAAGGAGAGATAATAGACAGAAATATGAGGCAAAAAGAATATTAATATGGAAAAACAACAAAGTTTTTGGAGGTATGATAAGTCAAAAAGTGTGAACGCATCTACGCCAGCCGTTGAGAAAGATTTTGAGCCATATCACTGACTGTCTCCAGCCTTCGTTGGTATTCATCATCTCAAGGACCCCAACCAAGAAGTCTACACCTCCTGACGTGTCTGACTCACACCAACTGTTGTGGATTTCATTGACCGATGAAACCATGTTTTGGTTTGACCACCACTAGCTATTTTCCACCCCGATCTTATGTCAGCTAACATTGACTGTCGAGGAAGGTGATGGTTAGGCATGGGATGATAGGAAAATCAGACAACTGAAATAGTGCAAGTACAGAGTAATGCTAATCGATGTAAACCACAGAAAACCACTGGTCAATTTTGAATTTAAATACTGGACACATATTCCCCTTGTTTTTTTTATCAAGTTCAGTGGTTAATTTGCCATGTTGATTTTTCTGGACATTGTATAACTTTCATCTAATTTTTTAGTTTGTACAGGTTTTTTTAAAATTATTTTAATATTTAATATTTTATTATTATTATTAAATTGGTATCATATTAATATAGGTTGTAATATATATATTTTTTTTCCTTTACTATTTTACCTATTAGTTATCTCATATTCTGCAACTGTTGTACTACAAGCGTTTGCATTAACTACTACAGTTGTCTTGTCGTTGATGATGTATACCCTGAATTCCAAAAGAGATTTCAGTAAATTAGGTGTTGGACTTACAGTTGGCTTTCTCATTCTCTTATTGGCTGGACCTATAAACGTATGTTACTAGTGGTGTTATATTTTTATTTTAAAGTTATTATGATTTTGGAATATATTTTGTTAGTTAAATGATGTATTTTGGTATTCATGCTCCTTTAGAATATCTTGTTTAAAATGACCAAGTCTCAGTCCATTACTGAATTGGTAGTTTTTAATCATTGATTGAATGAAACTAAACAAAAATGTGTACTGGTGACTATTTTACCGGTCTATGAACTCAGTTAAATGATTTAGCTTTCAGTTGTCCTTATAATCCTAAACGCATTCTAGTGTATCTAATTAACAATTGTTTATGCTTCCCCTATTCGACTTATGAGTGGAGGGGGGTTGGCAGTTAAAATGGCTTCCTTGGACCTATACTCCCTTTGTTATAGACACTTAATCTGCTTTCGAATCCCACCTACTGAGTTGCAGGGTGAAACTGTGGCTCACTGGTGTAAGCGCCCGATTCCCAGCCAAGTGGGTCAAAGGGTCGAAATCCACCCCGCCTACTGGGATTTAGGGTTGCTTAACAGCTGGTTAATTAGGAGGATCAGATTAAATTTTCACATATACTTCTAAGCTTGACTAGTTTTATTGTTATCAGAAATGCATGAGACTAGATGATATAATTGTTGGAAGCATCATTGTCATATACTATGTCACCTCTTTGCCATTTGAATCTATATAAATCATTAGTGACTGTCATTTACCATGGCCTGTGTATTTAATAATTGAATGACATGAAAAAATGACTTCTTTCGTCGTCATTTAACACACTTTGTTAGTCAAAGTATGTTAGAGTCTACTAACGTAATTTCAGTTTCCATCACGAACCATTTTCAGTTATAGAACCATTGTAAAATCCAGTGGGTACGGAAAAGGTGTTTCGTCTTTGTTCGAGACTCTTTAGTGGTACGCAGCTATGACCCACCAGAGGGTCAAACCCAGGACATTCAGGTTACAAGGTGAAGTCATATGCCGTTCGGCCACTGAGACACAATCGAATGGCCTACGAAGTCTATGTGCCATTTCGCTAAATAACACGACCACCCGAAGGTTTTCGGTTCGATCTCTGGTGGAGTCATCAGTGGGTACTGATGAAGAGTTCCAAACAAGGAAAAAAACAGCTGCCCATCACTCACTGGTCTTTAATAGTTCTATAAGTGATCCAAATTGAAATCAATCAAATTCTTGCACACCAACACTTGACAATTCAAGATTGTTGGTAAGCTTATGTACCTCTCTATGTGATGTGTTACTATCCTTGGTGAAAACTTGAGGGTAACATGTATTTCTGCTCTTGGATGGCAACATGAAGTGTTTTGCTAGGTTATTCAAACATAAGATTATGAGTGTACTTGAATTGAAAGAAATGTGTTTTAATGTATTTAAAATTGACTGATATGCTGCTGGACTACTCAATTTAGTTCATTTTTAGTCCTTTTCATTTGATTATGACTCAGCAATATATCTTCTGCTGCCAGTGACAATATATCTTTCGTAGTGACACATACGAGAGTAATAAGCCCTAAGAAACAGAGCTACGACAACATTGGATTCCGTGTCACAGTGGCTTAATGGCCAACGAGGTCGCCTTGTAGTCTTGAGATCCTGGGTCCGATCTCCAATAGGTTCATTGGTGTTTACTGTTGAAAAGTTCCAAACTACTAGGACAAAACAATTATCCGGTACTTCCTAGCTTCCAATGGTTCTGGAAATGAAGCCAGGTCGTTATCAAACTTGAAATCATGAAATCTCTTTTCCCAAAACTTGATCTTCATGGTAATAATAATAATAATAATTTGCTTTATTTCAAAACAGTACTTGTGATACAGAAAGGAATTCTCAGCATTTTACTACAGTATTTTATCCAGTTAGTACATTAAAAATAAATTAAATTCTACATAGATTAAGGGTAATCTCAGTTCGTTTTGACAACAACATATTGACATGTCGGTAGGAAAGCCAAAATTGAACAATGTTTAAAGGTGTTTAGAAAAGTAGATGCTAGCATATTTACTGGTGTAAGCGGTAACAAAAAGGTCGAGATATACAGAGTGTCAGAGAACAAAGAAAAATGTTTTAAATAGAGTTTGTAAGGAAGAAAGAAACAAAACAGCACATAACAACACAAAAAAGAGAGAAAAGGAAAAGAAAGAAGGAAAAAACGTTGTACCCATAAACGATATGAGTTGGAAAGACGAGATCCAGTTGTTCTCCTGACTGTTTAATAAGTTATAGGTATCACGCCTAATGCTTTCTTTATCGCACAGAACACGAGCTAAGTAGGGAGGGTATGGTTGAGTTTTTGTACTTACTAGTGCGAGCATATAGTTTTCTATATAGGCTTCTGGTTTTGCCTGATGAGATACAAGGGGAGAGTTGTGAATGAAGAGGGTGTTGTGAGTTAGATAAGATGGAGTTAGCCCGTTTTTCACATGAGTCCAAGTGCCTGTCGACCGGGATATTAACAAGCTGGTTAAGTGGCATGTTGTTTACTCTGGTGACAACCTTTAACATCCTGCGTAATAAGGTATAGTCTTTCTTCAGTAGTCCTGGAAAAACTAAGAGAGAACAATAGAGAATAATAGGCAGAATACAAGAGTTAACGAATCGTAGGAGTTAGAGTTGGGTTATTCCAGAATGTCCTAACTTCTTGATGTAGAAGGTAAGACGGAATATTTTCTTAGAAATCATCAAGATATGAGACGACCAGGAAAGATCAGCAGATAGAATGACGCTAAGATATTTAATTTCCGATATTTAGTTTCATAGTGTTTAATAGTCAATGGCTACTTTTCAACAAACCACGGAAGAGAAGTGTGATACTTTAGTTTAATTCCTCACCAGCCGTTTTTTGACATATAATAAATAATCTGTAGCTGAAAACTGTCCGTATATATATATATATATATATATATATATATATATATATATATATATATATAAGTGGCTTAACACTAATGGAGTGGTTATTGATTTTCTTTTTGTCATAATCTTAAGCTTAATTGTATTTCTTTTTACCTTCCATTGCTGTTATTGTTGTTCAGTTATTCTTAGGTTCATCTCTGTTAGAGTTTGGTATTGCAGTCGGTGGAGCTTGTCTATTCAGTCTGTTTATTGTATATGATACATGGAGGATAATGCATCATTGCTCACCCGAGGAGTACATCATGGCGTGTATTGATCTGTATTTGGATATATTAAACTTATTTATGTATATTCTACGATTCTTGAAAGAAGTACAACATAATCAAGGCTAAAACACAAACAAATAAACAAACAATCAGAAAGCTATTCAGGATGGATGTGTTTTTTATCACAGAGATGATAATTAAGTGAACCTACTTAAAACATACATGCATACATACCTACGTATATGTGCATATATACATACATACACCTAAATACACTTATGTACTTAATACTCAATATCTGATGATATAATTAAGAGTGGAATATGTTCACCAATGTTATTACTTGTGCTACTTCCATCGTTCACTTATAACCAAATGAATTGTTGAACTGTCTTTCACATACCAGCCTATTTTTAGTCTTTCTTTTAATTAATCTTGTTCACATTTCTGCTTACCGTCTTGTCTTTCTAACTAAATGCATACAAGCAAGATATTGTAAGTTAACAACATTAGATTGAAGCATAAGGCTGGACATCTCATCGATGTTGGTTGTTTTTTCTTCTGTTTATTTGTTTTGCTTGACAGTTGATATGATAATAATAATAATTATTCTGCTTAAGATGCTTAAGAACAAGATGTAAGCTTGGTGTTTTGTATTATTATTATTATATCTGGGAAGTTGATCTAATTACATACACCTTAGCTAAACAGGGTTGCTAATTTGTTAAGCGGTTGAACCTAGATTACTTAGATTTATGATCAGCAGAGAGGTGGGATATTACCACCTCGAGGTCGAAATCATCCGGCTGGGTCATTTCTAACCGCCTGAAATGAAGTCTAGCATAATGCTGTCCCAATGTGATGATGACTAATTAAGCTTAGTGGATTAAATTAAAGATTCAATCAGCTGAGTCGTATTATCTATCTATCTATCTATCTAGTTGATCTCCAGTGACAAATTGCTGTGATTAGTAGAAATCAAATTTGTTGAATAGTTGCTGTACTTTGTTGAAGGACTCTCCAATAGTGGTACGTGTAACTTATTTAATGGCTGATGTGGCAACCAGCATGTTGGCAGGTTTTATCTCTATGAATAAAGCTTTATTTGAGACAGAAATCGATCACTATTATCCCAATGTATATTTGAATAGCCTGACAGCTTGCCTCATACAAATAACATTATTTTCCACTAGGAAGATTTTTATTGAGTGTCGTTTGTAGTCTGAGTCATTTAGCAGTAATTTTTTAAAATTAGTAAGTCATTTTAAAGGGTCAATTTTTTTAATTTCGTGTTTATTTTTAAGGAGAATACACGAAATTCATAAATAGTCCCCATCCAGAAGATGTTCATCGAAGAGTCTGTTTTCCGGTGAATTCATTTATATACAATCTCTTTTCCATGAAAGGGGATAGTAACAGAAGTAGTTCTGCACAGTCACTGCACAAAAGGAACTGAATAAGTGTTTTAGAGCTATACAATAAAATGAGTAATTTAATGAATGAATTGTAGTCAGGCTACACATAGAAACGAAGTAAAATATGGAATAATGTAAGAGTTTTAAAGAAATACAAGAGTTATAAGAAGTTAAGAAATAAACAAGCTAGAGTCAAGTTATTAGAGATCAATGAGGTGGTTACGATGACAGTAGAAGTAGTTGAATAATCTTCTTTTCTAAGCTTAGCTCAAGTTTCTTTGTGTGAATAGCTAGAGCTTCCGTAATACAAAGGAGACGGGAGCGTATTGTCTTTGACAGGTTGTTTTTCACTTTGTAGATTACTTTGAAGCAGGAGGCGTTTGTTTAGGCTGAATGACCAATGTTGACAAGGTGTATCTCGATTGCAACTCATCCGTTAAAATCATTCATCTTAGTACGTAACTTTAGTACATTTACTCAACTCCTCTTTTGCATTGAATAATATTGATAGCTATGATTATGACAACTCATCACATTTGTTACTACTACTCTCTTTCCTGAAAAAGAGATTGTATATGAATACGATTGTATGGCTTAGTAAGTGAATTCACCGGAAAACGGCCTTTTCACTGAACTACTTGTTTTGTTTTCATTAATATATCAAGTAATTTATCGGACGACCATTGAGAGGTTTTACTCCTGTGTGTAATAATTACTTTACTGGATCGATAAAATATTATGGTTCACTTAATATGATAAGTGAGGTGAAATTCTATCAGAGTTTATTTACCTATTGTTACATGCTAGGGAGTGCTAATGAGAAATCGATGAACTTGAATATCTAAGGTCATTGTAGTTCCCTCTGAGTTTACCACTGATGAGAAAATTTGATTGCTCAAGATGTTTAACGACGTTTTAACTCACCTAAGTTAATCATTCTGTTTCATTGTAAGTCTGATGAATATAGTCCCAGACAGGTGAACATCATGACTACCTGTAAATGCTTATCTTAGAAAGGGCGCACATAGAACAACATATGTACACCTAACTTTAAAGAAACAGGTGAATTGATATATGTACACTGGAATGGTAGTATGCGGGAGTTTGTCATTTAAATTGGCTTAGAAGCAATGGGTAGTAAGAGTATATCAGTCTGAACGTTGCTACAGGGAAGATCTTCTCTAGGATCCTGACCAAAAATGGATATCCAGCATGGTTTGGGGAGAAAACCATCAAAACGAAATCAAGAAGAGAAGAATGCTATACAGCGCCAAAGAATCTGGAATTCAGGAGAGACTTAACGGCAGATATCCTAAAGAGAAGAATTTCTAGTTCCCGAAAGTTTATTGCATCTATCAAACTGGATCATATTTACAAGTAGTTAGCAACGAAACGCAGTAATTAGCATATTCAGTTTCGTTTCAAATTGAGCTGTAATCACTTGCATAATATTGATACTCGGATGAAATCCTACTATGATTCATTACAGATTCAACTATTGGTTAATACTACTAACTTCAGTCAACGAGTGGGTAAAACAGCACATGTTACAAATATCATACTACTTAGGTCACCCAAGGATTCTAGATTGATCATGTTCAAAATGCTTTCTGCACTAGACTACCAGTTGAGTCTACTGTGTAAAACTTGATTAGACAGTGCGACTGATCAAGTCTTGATAGATGAGGTAGAGTTCTAACTAGTAATCTATTGTGTGGATGTGGTGTATGCCTAAGCTTATGAGTTATAGACTAAAACAATGTGTGAATCCCCTTCCTTCGTGTTTAAGAATGAGATTACCTGTCTGTCTGTCTGGATTCAACATAGAACTTGGCACCAAAGTGCAGCAGTTCGAGTTGCCATGTTCCAAATAGCACACAAAGGTAGACAAGAAGATGAGTGAAGAGAATCAATAGAGTTTGACAAGTATAAGAGCGAAACAGAATGGGTAATGGTAGAAATGAATATGAAAGATTACAGAGACTGACAACGGTTTTGAGCCATGTCACCTATTGTCTCCAGCCATTGATTCTTAGAGTCCCGAGGGCCCCAACCCGGGAGTCTGCATCTCCCTACCTGACTCAGTTTAACTGTCAAAGATTTCATGGATTGATGAGGCCATGTTTTTGTTTGGCCACCACTGGCTCTTTTCCAACCTGCACCTATATCAGGTAGTAATGCCCGTCGGGGGAGGGGCGATGGTTAAGCATGTGCAGCACGTGACCAAACCATCTCAATCTATGTAACTTTGTAGCCTCGTCGATTGATTTCCCCTCTTTGCCCAACACTCTACGCCTAACGTCAACATTACTTACCTTGTTAAACCACCTAACGTGAGACAGAGATCGCAGACATCTATGATCGAGAGCAGTCAACCTTTTCATGTCTTCAACGCGTATTGGCCATGTTTCAGAGCCATAGAGAAGGACCGAGCGAACTGATGAGCAGTACACACGTCCCTTGGTTGATAACCGGATATCACGCCTACGCCAGAGATGGTCAGCGAAAGCAACTCGAGGTTTTTGGATCCGTGCTGAGATTTCGTCACCAATCAGTCCGGTGGTGCTGATACAACTTCCCAAATAAGTGAAGTGGTCAACATGTTCTATCACTAAGCTAGGAGTTGACGTAGTCCAGTCCTGTAGCAGCATCTTACATTTTGTAGGGGCGAATCGCATGCCAAACATACGAAGATTGCTGCTCAAGGTGTTCAGAATGAGATTACCTAGTTTTGAATAGCCTTATGTAGATAATTTTTTAAGTTGTATTTCATTCACCTGTTAGGGTATCGGTACTTCTGTTGATAAGATACACTTCACCACTTCTTACTTAACGTGATTTACCTATGTACCCAATAATAATAATAACAGCTTTATTCCAAACGGTATTTGTGGCACAGGTATGGAAATTTCAGCGTGCATTACAATATATTGCATCTAATTACCTCATGAATTTTATAAGATTTTTAAAATCAAAAAATAAATAAATAAAAAACCAACGCCAAAAAATAAAAGATAAATAAAAAAACAGCGTAGCGTTTACATTTCAAACAATGCACCACAGGATATGAAATATAAAGTTGGTGTGTGATAGAAGATGAGAACAACAGTGTAATAGTAACGAGGAAAGGAAAACAAAAACTAATGGGACTATATGTTAGAGTGCCGCAGTAAGTTTATCGTGTCATACCTAACGGATTTCTCATCACATAACAGCTGTGCCAGATATGGTATTGTGGAGTTTTTGTATTTGGTAGTCCTAGCATATAGCCTCCTTCCTATAGCTGCTTCTAGTTCTTCCAGATGAAATGCAAGGAGATAGATGCGTATAGAGAGGATTCTCGGGGTCCGACAATATTGTATTCGCTAGTTTCTTACATGATATAATATGTCTATCCACAATAGCGTTAACCAGTTGGTTTAGCGATGTCCCACTTGCCCTGCTAACAGCTTTTAGTGCCCTTCTCAGCGAAGCAAAGTCTCTCTTAAATAGTCCAGGAAAGATTAATGGGGAGCAGTAAAGAGGGATGGGTAGAATACAAGAATTGACAAACTGAGAAAGCAAAGACTGCTTCATACCAGACTGCCTCAACTTCCTAACGTAGAACGTTAAGCGAAACATCTTTCTAGTAACTAGCAAGATGTGGGAGGACTAGGAAAGATCGGTGGAAAAACTCAGCCCAAGGTACTTGACATTAGATGTATTTTCAACCTCTGTGCCGTCAATGATAGTGGGGACATGTGAGCTAACTAGTTGCTGTAGGTCACATTTACGTCTGAAAGTGAAATTGACTACCTGACATTTAGACGGATTTAGCTTAAGACCGTTTGAAGAGGACCACTGACTAATTTCCGACAGGAAGTTAATCTGACTAAGAGTTGACAGGCATAGAAACCGAGAGGTCATCGGCATACTTGACAAAAGTGGCTACAGCAGAATGAGGCAAGTCATGTAAGAAAAACGAGAACAGAAAGGGAGAAAGAATAGCACCTTGAGGAACACCAGCTAAAGTAAGTGAGGTAGTGGAGGGCTTTCCATTGTAGACGGTGTACTGCTTCTATCAGAAAAATAGGAATGCAACCACTTATTTGTCCAGCTCTCAGTCTGTGTTGCAGCAAGCTTACTTAGCAAGAGTGACCTGGGAACAGAGTCAAATGCAGATGTATCAGTACTCTACCACACGTGTAAGCACTAACGACCAAGCGGAAATTAAAAATACCTGGTTTTTAAGG